AACTTAGAAGAAATGGATAAATTCCTAGAAACATACAATCTTCCAAGAATGAATCAGGAAGAAATGATTACTGGCTGACTACTAGCCATGACACTGAGTCAGTAACAAAAACCAAAAACCAAAAACCTCCCAACAAACAAAAGTCCAGGACCAGATGGCTTCACAGGTGAATTCTACCAAACATTTCAAAAAGAATTAGTAATACCTATCCTACTCAAACTATTTAAAAAAAACTGAAGAGGAAGGAATGCTTTCAAATTTGTTCCATGAGGCTAACATTGCCCTAACACCAAAACTAGAAAGATACTATAAAAGCGAAAACTGCAAATCAATGTCCCTGATGAATACTGATGCAAAAAATCTTCAACAAAATATTAGCAAAGGAAATTCAACAATACATTCAAAGGTTTATACAGCATGATCAATTTATTTGAGGGATGCAAGGATGGTTTATTATCTGCAAATCAATGTGATACAACATATTAACAAAATGATGAATATCACGATCATCTCAAGAGATGCAGAAAAAGCATTAGACAAAATTCAACATCCATTTATGATAAAAACTCTCAAAAAAGTAGGTATAGAGGAAACATACCTCAACATAATAAAGGTCATTTATAACAAACCCAATGTTAACATCACACTCAACAGTAAAAAGCTGAAAGCTTTCCCTCTAAAATCAAGAACAGGACAAGAATGTCCACTCTTACCACTTTTATTCAACACAGTACTAGCAGTCCCAGCCACAGCAATGAGACAAAAAAAAGATATAAAAGCATCCAAATTGGTAAGGAAGAAGAAAACTGCCGCAATTTGTAGATGACATAATACTATATGTGGAAAACCCTATAAGACTCCACACAACAAAAATATCAAAATAAATGAACAAACTCAAAATGGACTAGAAAACTAAATGTAAGACTTGAAACTATAAACCTCCTGAAAGAAAATACAGGCAGTAAACTCTTGGACCTTGGTCTTAGCTATATATATACATATATATATATTTTTTTTTTCTTTCCCCTGATTTGTCTCCTCAGGCAAGGGCAACAAAAGCAATAAGATAAACAACTGGGACTACATCAAACTAAAATGCTTTTTAAACAGTGAAAGAAACCATCACCAAAATGTAAAGGTAACCTATGGAATAAAAGAAGGTATTTACAAATCATATTATCTGATAAGGATTTAATATCCAAAATATATAAAGAACTCATACAAGTCAACACCAAAAAAACAATCGATCCAATGAAAAAATAAGCAGGGAACCTAAATAAGCATTTATCCAAAGAAGACATACATATGGCCAACAGTCACAAGAAGAGATCCTCAATATCACTAATCATCAGGAAAATACAAATCAAAGCCACAATGAGAAATCACCTCACACAAGTCAGAATGGCTAATATCAAAAAGACAAGAACAACCTGTTGTGTTGAGCACAGGCTGACATATGGTACTGTTGAATTACTGTATTGTACACCTGAAACTAATGTAACACTGTATGATAACTAATGGGAATTAAAATAAAAACTTTAAAAAAATGAAATGAAAAAAAAGAGAACTACAAGTGTTGGTGAGGACGTGGACAAATGGAACCCTGATGCACTGTTGGTGGGAATGTGAATTGGTACTGCCATTATGAGTAACTATGGATAGAATGGAGGTTCCTCAAAAAATTAAAAATGTTAACACCAGAAGTTTCACTTCTGGGTACTTACCTGAAGAAAATGGAAACATAAATTCAAAAATATATATGTATTCCTATGTTTACTTCAGCATTACTTACAATAGCCAACATATGGAAGCAACCTTTGTGTCCATTAATAGATGAATCGATAAAGATGCAGTATATATATGCAATGGAGTATTACTCATCCATAAAAAATAAAGAAATCTTGCCATCTGTTACAACATGAATGGACCTAGAGGGTATTATGCTAAGTGAAATAAGTCAGACAAAGACAAATACCATATGATTTCACATGGAGAATCTAAAAAACAAAACAAATGAACAAGCAAAACAGAAACAGACTCATAAATACGGAGAGCTAGTGGTTGCCAGCAGGGAGGAGAACAGGAGGATGGGCAAAACAGATGAAGTGGATTAAGAGGTACAAACTTCCAGTTATAAAATAAACAGGTCACAGGGATGTAAAGTACAGCATAGGGAATGCAGTCAATAATATTGTAGTAACAACGTATGGTGACAGACTTATGGTGGTGATCACTTTGTAATGTATAGAAATGACAAATCACTACGTTGTACAGCTAAAACTAACAGAATAGCCTATGTCAACTGTATTTCAGTTAAAAAAAATACTAAAGTAGGGCGCCTGGGTGGCTCAGATGGTTGGGCGTCTGCCTTCGGCTCAGGTCGTGATCTCAGGGTCCTGGGATCGAGTCCCGCATCGGGCTTCCTGCTCCTTGGGAGCCTGCTTCTCCCTCTGCCTTTCTCTCTCTCTCTCTCTCTGTCTCTCATGAATAAATAAATAAAATCTTTAAAAAAAAAAAAATACTAAAGTATAGCAGCTTATAACCAACCACATCAACCACATCTTTGTCTGTCCTGGATATGTATTTTACTGTTTCTTGCATAAGTTAGCAAAAATTAATTAATTAATTAGTCGGGGGGGGTGGGGGGAGCGCACAAGCAGGGGGAGTGGTGGGCAGAGAAGCAGGCTCCCTGCTGAGCAGGGAGCCCGATATGGGGCTCAATCCCAGGACTCTGGGATCATGACCTGAGCCAAAGGCAGACGCTTAACGACTGAGCCACCCAGGCGTCCCTAAGGTAGCAAAAATTAAAGTCTTATGTTTAACAAATTATATATGACCTATAGATACTGTGCACTTATTGCTACCAAGCCTTCCCTCTTTCAATGGTAAATTATTCTCTTCCTCTTTTAGGAGGAAGTTCCAACTATCATGCTCCCCACTATTTGCTATGTTACTTGAGGGAAAGGAAGTTATAGTGAAATGTATTTGAAAATGGTAGTTTAAAAACAGGTTGTTTATGCAGGATATCTCAGACTCTTTAATATGATAATCAACATTATTTTAAATCTCCAAGAAAGTAGGGGAATAAAGTATGTACTATGTACAGAGCTTATTTGCTCCTGGATTCCTTTCCATGGAACATACCATGAGATGAGGGTTTCATGGAACACACTGGAAAAACACTGGTTTAGGTACATGTTACATTTTTATAGACTAGCTTAGTTCTTAATTCATAGTATTAGTTCTATGAAAAACTTATGTCCTGAGTTTGAAACAACACGCTTAGAAAAAAACTTGCCGAATGCAACCAAATCACATGCATTTAGATTTCTATAGCCACTGATTACTGTGCTTTTGAGATTTTCCCTAAATGGCATGTTAACCTCAAACAAAATAAAATTATTCCCAAGTTTTCAGTTTAAAACAAGAAATAAAAACTCAAACTAAACACTTGAAAAATATTATTCCTATAAGCAATGTTTATCAATAATCCAAATAAAGTTTATTTGTAATGTGCAACTTATAAAATGAGAGAATTTTCTGTATCTTAAAAAGCATAATATTTGGTTGGTCTGGATTTGAATCCTGTCATTTAGCATTTATGAGAGACTGAGACTGAATAACTTGGCCAAGAGCTTTTTCCTCCCTACAAAGTATTAGTAAGAATATTTGCTTTGTGTGGTTGTTTTGAGGATTAGATTATAAAGACCGAGCACAATGATGGGCAAGAACAAATAATAGGTTTTGAAGAAATGGTAGTTCTTCCTATCATTTCCATCATAAAACAACTAGTTTGCCACAATATAGTCCAAGAACCTCTCATGGTATCCAGAACACTTGGCTAATAGAACATGGTGCTAAGACAACTGGGTAGCAAGAAAATAAAATCCACAGGTAGAAAATTGTCATACTACTATAGTTTCTTATAATGTGTTTACTGTATGGAACTTAAGAGGGGAAAAATTATGAACGCCTAGGGGAAAATGGCACTTTCCTTCAATATTCAATTTAAAGTTGTTCATATTTAACCATCTTTCATACCATTATATGTCTCAGATTTTAAAGAGCATCACTGCTCAATTTCAGACTGAAAAATGAATACACAAAAAAGATACCAAAAGAATTAAGCAGAACTGATACTGATTACAAAGTTGAAAATAAAATCTACCCAGGCTAGAACTGAACACTGACAGTTAACTTTCTCCAAAGGAAAATCTAACTTGAATTATATTCATTTTTTTAATACAGTTCAATACCATGTCAATGAGGAACTCAAGACACAAAAGCTGTTTTATCTGACTACCTAAAATTCTACTGCGCATTGTCATTTTTCAGGTCTTACTCCTCTGAAATACTTACGTACTTCCTGAAACCGGAAATGAGAGTTTGCCTGTGATTTAAGTTTCAGGAAAGTTTGTAGAAAACAACAAAGCAAATCAGTTGTTAAAGATCCTACCTTTTCGGGCGCCTGGGTGGCTCAGTTGGTTAAGCGACTGCCTTCGGCTCAGGTCATGATCCTGGAGTCCCTGGATCGAGTCCCGCATCGGGCTCCCTGCTCGGCAGGGAGTCTGCTTCTCCCTCTGACCCTCCCCCCTCTCATGTACTCGCTCTCTCTCATTCTCTCTCTCTCAAATAAATCTTTAAAAAAAAAAAAAGATCCTACCTTTTCTTCACTATATAGCAGCTATTTCTACAAATATAAAAGAGTATGTGCATACTTTCTCAGAACTCAAAATGAGAACACCAAGAACAGAAGTCTATGTGCATAAACACATGTATACACATATGTATCAGCTAAATTCCCCAAAGTGGATTTAAACCAGTAAGAATACTATGACATTCTAAATTCAGAAAGCAGACATAAGCACTATTTTGTTTATAAATCAGAGGTATAATGAGCTAATAAGTTTCACTCGGAATATTATATAGTTTAGAAGTACTCTGACTGGATCCCATTAAAAAAAAGTCATTCAAAATAAAAAGCACATTCTTCTAACAGCAAAGAATTCTCCCACTTTTTATTTATTTTGACATATTGGTATTTTCATAAACTTGCAAGTGGAAGATAAGCTGTTCAATAAAAGCCATTTCATATATACAATATACAGAAATTATTTTAAAAGTCTGTTCATATAATGAATTCTTTTGGTATTGACAAAAAATTAAGATACAAATAATTGACTAGAAATGAAACTATCACTAAACTAACACAGGAACTGCACTTCATTTCAGGAAAAAAATCCAGATCTTACTGTGTTAGAAGAATAAAGCACATTTGTCATATTCCCCTAAAGCAGGGACTATTTAAAGTTTTTAAATTAAAAAGTATTCAGGATTACTTCTGTCTGTACATTCAGGAACTATCATCATATCACTGATTACACACAATTCTCTCATCATGCAAAAAACCTGTTAAGTTGTTTTCTAAGGTCTAATCAAGTCAAACAATAAACTAATTATAGCAATTTAATTAGCAAGCTGTAAATCAGAGAGGTGTAGAAATTCCACAGTTGAATTGTATTTCCTGTCTACAGTATGGCCACTATTCAATTTTCTCCATGTATTAGAACTAATAGGCATTGATAGTCAAACATTTCATTGTAGCAGCAAATGATAGAATATGTGAGAGAAGGAAGAGTTCCTAATTTCATGACAATCTTTATTACGCTTTGTAAAAGTAAAGGGCTGTGTGTGTATATGTGGAAAGGAGTAAGAAACAAAGACAGGAGGTTAAGACAGGTATATAAAGGGAATGTTGAGACTATACCAGAATTGTATTTAAATATTTAAAAAACTGATCTGAAAGTCTGCCCATCAAGTGTACAAAAAACAGAGCCGATGTTAGTGCAAGTTTAACCTGATCATTTATTTGTGAAAAAAGCTAGTTTTGATGAGGAAAAATTCAATCCTGTCCTTGTAAACATAGAGAAACTCAAGGGGAATTTTAAAGATAGTAGGCCAGAAAATGCAAGTTACTCTTATAATCCTTTTCAATTGAACAGACAAATCAAGTTGAAGACACATGTTAAAATACTTTTCAGACTGACTGAATATTTACCAGCTTATATAATCTCTTGTTCCAACTGGATTTTGATTTAAAAAAAAAAAAAAAACACTTTTTATAAGAGCTATCACACCTAGAAGTGAAGAAAATAAATTAGATCCCCCCAAAAGATATTATTTTAACCTCTAAAGCATAAAAAGCTATATAATATACAAATTAACCAGTGTTCTTACAAAAGTAATGCAGTTTTGGACTGATGACATTATGCTATATTTGTGGTGAAGTACTAGGCACAAGAATATATGTATCAATTAGGCATTTTCAGTCTAATTAGTCTCAAAAGTCATTTAATTCTTGGCAATATATAATAACTGGTATGCATTCTGGTACTTAAGTCATGAATTGTTGAGAACAAGAAGCAGTGTATTATAGTAACAGGGTCTGTATCTGACAATTACAGTGTTGAACAAATCTTTTCTATGAACTCTGTGATTTGTTTTGCAGTTGGTCACTTGTAGTAGATCCTGCAAAGATAAAAGAAAAAAAAGTCAATATAATTTATTGTGTATTGTCAACCTTGGAACTACCTGAGCTAAAGTCCCCTTTCACTGCTACGGATGATAAATATAAAAACCTAAAAAAACAAATAAGGATGTTTGATGTAGGCTCATTAGTCTGACATAAAAGAATCAGTCAGTATACCTCCTAAATATTCTAAAGAGCAGAACAAGAGTTATCTACTTGGTGATGGGACAAAAGGTTTCAGATTGAAATGTTTCTGTGAATAAATCAAAAGCAGCAGTTAAGACAACTCAAATATCCAAAGTTATAAAAAGATCTCAAAACAAGAAAATATTTCCTTAGAGTCTAAACATGCTACTTTTCTTTTTATAAAAACAGCAATAAAATAGATGAAGATGGGCAGAGGTTGGGGAGAGGAGAATGACAATGCTCATAAAGTAATGGGCTACATAGAACCTGGAGATTTTAAAAGCTGGTAAGACTTTTTTTTTTTTTTTTTTTAAGGGCTCAAAAAGAGTAGAGGACAAATAAGGAACTTACTTCCCTAAGGCTTATTACATAGTCTTTTCTATCCTTGTGGACTTAATGATGATAAAATATAAGCCTGTCATTGAAGGAAAATCAGGCAGTGAGCTAACACAAATTTTATACTTGAAAATTGGAGAATCATTTATTGAATTTAAAAGAAAAAAATGTATTTATGTACTAAATGTGTGAAATCTAGTATCTTACCAGCAATGACAGACAAAAGGCCAGAGTTATTTTTCAAAAGCCACGGCTTAAAGAAAAAGAAATCCGTGGCACCTGGGTGACACAGTCAGTTAGGTGTCCAACTCTTGGTTTTGGCTCAGGTCATGATCTCAGGGTCATGAGATGGAGCCCCACACTGGGCTCTGACCTCAGAGCGGAGTCTGCTTAAGACTCTCTCCCCCTCTCCCTCTACCTCTCCCCACCCTCCTTAATAAACACATAAATCTTAAAAAAAATCCTTTAAATCTTTGACACAGTGTTACTGATGCAAATTTCCAGCAAATGAAGGACATTCCTAGTGCTTTGCCAGAGTCACTAAGAATTGATATTAAAAGTCTGAGCAAAAACTGATGAAAAGTTATAACCAAAAAAACATTCATTTTGAATACATCAAAATAAATCCCCAAGATATGGGAAACAAAGACTGATTAGGGTATGTCACCTAAAAATGGATAATAAACTTTAAAAAAGGAAGAGAGAGACATGTAACAATAATTACTTAAAATGAAGTTTGTTCAGTTAAATACAAGCTAAAAAACAACTATGGTGAATATAATGGAAGTGAAATGCTATATGAAACAAAATGAAAGTCTAAAGCATAATATGGAATAAAAAATATTGTAATTAGGACTTTAAATGAGATACAGAGTCATCAGGTTCTATCACAGAATCATTCATATTTCATATATGCTCATCAAAACAATAATATAATAATGAGTTACTTTCCTAAGGCTTAACCATCTGAGGCACAACAAATAAAGTTACATGTCCAGTTTTCAAGTATAAAGCAACAGTTTTCAAGTACAAAGAGTAGGTAAATGGGCACAAAATCTGCATTAGCAATATAGAAGATTCACCTTCATTAAACACCAGAATTTAATTTAAAAAATAAATAAAATCTATTAACTATGTTGGATCAAGAGTTGGCAGGTTGCAAGGGCTGACTGTCCAAGACTTAAAAACAAATAAAAATCAGACAGGTATTTTGTCAATCCAGTAGTCAAAAGAATTAATATTGGAAAGATATGACATACTCTGTACTTGAAAGGATGTTAAAAACAAATCTTCTGTATTAAAAACATGCTTCTTTTAAAAAGTTTAAACCTTAATTTAGATTGGTAGGACAGATAAAATATAATATGAAACATCAAAAACAAAATACAGCTTAATGTGAAGACAAACATCCTTGCTTAAGCCAAGTAAACAAATGAAAAAACCCAGCCATATACATATGGTCTTAAATCAAAACACCTCTGGGCATAAAAACTTTATTTTGAAATTGGCCACAGGGGTTGAGATTTTAGAAAGTTTGGCATAATAAATTTAAGTGAATTTCAAAAAAATTTTCTGAGGTTTTTTAAACGTGTAAAGCAAAATAAAGTATGTCATTTAGGCACAAAGAATCACAAGTGTCTCTGATAATTTCAGAAACATCTAACCTTGATTTGACTCTTCCATGTTCATGCTTTCTTCGGCTCCAGTCTCAAACATTTCTTCATCTTCCTCATCATCATGTAGGTCTTTTGAAATTAATTGTCTAGCTAATTTAATATTCAGTCCTTCATTGTAGTGAAGCTTCCTTTTCATTTCAAACTGTCGCTTTTTTTCTACAAGATACAAAAAGTAGGTTTAGGAAGTCTTTAGCTCAAGGATTAGGAAAATACAGCCTGCGTCTGTTTGGTAAATAAACTATTATTGGGGGCCGCCCGCGTGGCTCAGTCAGTTAAGCGTCTGCCTTCAGCTCAGGTCATGATACCCGGGGTCCTGGGATCCAGCCTCGAGTAGGGCTCCTGCTCAGTGCAGAGTCTGCTTCTCCCTCTCCCTCTGCCCCTCCTCCCTGCTCATGCTCTTCCTCTCTCTCAAATAAGTAAAATCTTAAAAAAAAACTTATTGGAACATGATCATGCTCCTTTGTTTCTATAATAACTTACAGCTACTTTTGAGCTCAATGGCAGAGCTGAATAGGTGCAGTTGAGGCCATATGGCCCATAAAACCTAAAATATTTATTTATTTATTTTACTGAAAAACCTAAATCTTGTCTTATACAGAAAAAGTTTGCACACCTCTGCTTTAGATGGTTCAAGTACATCTTAATGGGAAAATAGGAATAAAAACCATTACTAGGTAAATTTGTGAAGAAAATTTAAAGACATAAGAAAAATCTCCAGAAAGAATTGAAATGAGGAAAAAAACAAGCTATGTAATACCATATATGTGTCAGGTAAAAAGTCTGCATGCACGTGTATGCATACACACAGAAAATAAGACAACAATTAGCATGGTTAATTTTGGGACAAGGAACTGTGGGGTAATTTTAGTATTTTCAAGTCTTCCATTTTTATAATTAATTACAAATTCCCTCAAAAATTCTTATTAGCAGGGTGCCTGAGTGGCTCAGGCAGTTGAGCATCTGCCTTCGGCTCAGGTCATGATCCCAGGGTCCTGGGATCGAGCCCCTTGTGGGGCTCCCTGCTCAGCTGAGAGCCTGTTTCTCCCTCTACCTCTCCCCCCTGCTCGTGCTCTCTCTCTCTCTCTCAAATAAATAAAATCTTTAAAAAAGAATTATTAGCAAAAAAATAAAAATTCTCATTATCCATGAAGAAACTGCAGTGATTTAAAACACTGCTAGTTAAAACATAACTTCATTCCCAGAGTAATTTTAAGAAAAAGCTGTTATAAGGCACAGTGAAGAAATCCTAGACTATTCTTTCATTTATAGTCTTCACCATAGAAACACAAGGTTAGCAGCAAATCAACTTAACTGATATTTTATTAACAGCATTTAAAGACTATTTCTGTAGAAATAGTTCTAAGATTTTAAAATTTCTTAGACTGGTAAATAAAAAGGGGTGACATAAAATTGCCAACTGTTTGTCAAACAAGAGCATTAAAATTCATTTATCAGAGTTTTATTATGTTCATGGAAGTATTTTAATGCCAAAAAGCATAGAGAAATCTCTGCATAAGGCTACTCAAAGTACTTTCTCAGTCTCCTTTAATTCCCTCTAAGTTTTAATAATCATCTATACTTACAGATGACTTACAGTTACTTATATTTCAAAAGCAGGCATTTATCGTTCTTGTTAGTACTGATCAATCACTTTTCAGCCTCTATTTGGGTTGGGAAAAGGAAAGTTCTGAGACCACCAACTCAGTATTCCATAAACATTTGTTTCAAACGACCAAGATCTTGCCAGGCATCTTTCTTCTTCTCTACTTATGAATTGCTTTTGTGATTTATTTTCTCTTTGAGAATACCATATGGTAGAGGGAAGTAAAATTGAAAAAAGAGGCCAATAAAAAGACCAAATCCTCGTGACTAAATTTTTAGTGATGCCTTTCAAGTATTCAAATGATGTAAAAACCAATATTAAAAAACCAAAAAAATGGTTTTACAAACTTCCAGTGACAAAATAAATTAAGTCATGGAGATGTAAAGTAAAACAAAGGGAATATAATCAATAACACTGTAATAACACTGTATATTATACAGTGACAAATGGTGCCTATACTTAATGATGAACACTGAGTAAGGTACAAAATTGTTGAATCCATATGCTGTACATCTGAAAACTAATGTAACATCAATTGTACTTCAATAATGAATTTTAAAAAATGGTTCTGATTGCCTCCAATACCACATCTCTTTACTAAAAAGGTAACACTTTTTATCATTACAAAATAACACATGTTCATGGTAGAAACTTAAAAAAAAAAAAAGCACTCAATTTCCTCACTCAGAAATTACCATTAATATTTTATGACTTTAGAATTTTTTCTAGAAATTTTTCTAAAAATAACTCCTATATTTTTATATATGCTATTTTTTCACTTACGATATAGTTACAATTACCATATGTCCCAGTTTGCCCAGGCAAGGTTCAGTTTATGCCTACCATCTGAGGAAGTATAATATGACCCTTTCTTTCACCCTAAAATGATCCAGAGTTTAGATAATTAGATATATGAAGATACAGTAAAATTCTGCCATGTACACAGCAGATTTATATAATTTTTAAATGGCTATAAAGTATAGAGTTACCATTTCTCTCTTCTTGGTCAAAGATTTCTAATCTCCCTCTATGTATTTTCAATGTTTTTAGAGTGTAATACACATACATTTTGCGCTTTGGTTCTATTACTTTCTCAGTGTGAACTAGTGTCTTTTCAAACCGTGCATCAGGATTCCTTAGTGGGTTACAACCAGTATTTTTTAAAAAATGAAAAAAAAAAAACAACAGAATAAACTGCTATGCATTACACATACTAAAGGTGAGTACTGTTTTGTGAAATTTTTCTTTTTATAATTTATGCATACATGTATAACATGTAGGACTTAGTCAAAAATGTTTACAAAACACTAGAACAGATTCTGGGAAACTGAATTGCTAGATCAAAGGGTGTCATTTTCTTTTAAAGCTTTTGGCTCGTATATTGCCATATTGCCCTCCAGAAAAACCAAACCATTTTTCATGCCCACCGATAAGTACATGAGTAACTTATTTCTCTACATTCACACCCAAAGAGAAACTCATTCTTTTTAATCTTTGTTGATCTGAAAGGAAAGAAAGGGACCATGATGCTGTGTGCTTATTTATGTACTATGTATGTATGTATGTACGTAGTCTCCATGCTGAGTATGGAGCCCCACACAGGGGTTGAACTCACAACCCTGAGATCAAGACCTGAGCCGAGATCAAGAGTTGGCTGCTAAACCAACACAGCCACCCAGGTGCCCCCATGATGCTGTTTTAATTTGCAATTTTTTATTCCTAGGAGTTGACATTACAGTATTTCTCTCTTGTGAATAATATTTACAGTCTAAGAAAAATTTTTTTTTAATTCTAAGAGATGCTGAACTTGGTTTTGCTTGTTATACATTCTAATTTTAGAATACTCAAAAAGCTTTATGTAAGTTTAAAATATACAATATATTCATTTTGTAGAAAGATGCTAATACAAGTGGTCTCAATCTTCTTTGACTATTTATATTCATTTTACCTATAATCCTTGTATTGTAGAACAACATACTACAAAGAGTACAAGGACGTTAAGATTTTAGGCCTGGCTCTAACAATAATCAACTCTCCATGTGAACTTCACAAGTGAATTACCTTTTTTATATTTTCTTTTACTATTCTATAAAATAATGGAGAATACACCAAGTATTTAAGTTATTACAAGTTATTATTTACTGAACACTTACAATATGACAGAATCAGTGTTAAGTGCTTTAAATTCTTTATCTCATTTAATACTCACAATACCTCTAAATATTTTTATAGATGTCAATTTAAAGAAACTGAGGCTCAGAGAAATTACAAATTAGACATATGACATACCTGGAGTATAAACTTTGATTTGTCTGATTCCACAGCCAATATCTTAATTGTTATGCTATCAGTTACAAGATAATTTTTTCTAAGAATTTGTATCAATAAACAAGGACTTTCAGATATGTAATTTGTTTAAAAGCAATAAACACCTACAGGAGTCAGTACCTACTAGTAAGAACTGAACTTGTGAACTTGTAACTAAATTGTTCCCCCTGCTGGCTAATTCTGGAACTACAATTTGGGGGGAGGGAGGAAAAAAAATCCCTTAATGAAAACTGACAATATAGACTAATAATAAATTTCTGTTCTCAATATATCATGTTTTGTTTTTTTTTTAAGATTTTATTTATTTATTTAACAGAGAGAGAGAGACAGCGAGAGAGGGAACACAGGCAGTGGGAGAGGGAGAAGCAGGCTTCGCGCTGAGCAAGGAGCCCGATGCGGGGCTCGATCCGAGGACCCTGGGATCATGACCTGAGCCGAAGGCAGCCACTTAACCGACTGAGCCGGCGCCCCTCAATATATCATGTTTTTAAGAGGATAATGAAGAAACCAGCTCTAGAAACAATTTATATTTGAAACCGTTTTCAAGGGTGTTTGGAGTATATTTTTAGATAATAAGTTAGGAAGTCACTGAGAATACAAGACCTATAATACAACTTGGGATTAGGCTATATGTAAAAATTTTTTTTCTCTTGTACCACAATTAGGCTCAGACCATCACAGTTTGTTGAATAAGCTATATTCTGAAGATGACAGACAGGAGTAGCAAATTATACCTTAGGAGCTACACATAACAAAGATTCTGACAATTAACTAGCAATATTCAGAATCTCAGTTCTAAAGTTGCTGAACTTTTTTACAGTACAGGTAACATCCACATTTCAAGGCTTCAAGTACACTACTAACTCTTTTCTTTTTCTTTCTTTTTTTTTTTTTTTTAAAGATTTTATTTATTTATTCATGAGAGACAGAGAGAGAGAGAGGCAGAGGGAGAAGCAGGCTCCCAAGGAGCAGAGAGCCCGACGCGGGACTCGATCCCAGGACCCTGGGATCATGACCTGAGCTGAAGGCAGACGCTTAACCATCTGAGCCACCCAGGCGCCCCTCTTTTCTTTTTCTTTCTTGTGAGGGTGTGTTTGTGTTTTTCTTGCATCTTTTTTCCTATACATAGGTTTGGTTTTTCCTTTTAAAAATAGTTAAACACGGTGTTATGCACAAACAATGAATCATGGAACACTACATCAAAAACTAATGATGTAATGTATGGTGATTAACACAATAAAATTTAAAAAATAGTTAAACACTATATAAACAATTTTAATTCTTGAAAAGACTGTACACTCACATGGTTCAAAGAGTGTAAAAAGCAACAAGATGAAATATCTTCCTTTTCTTCTTACCTCCACAGATAACCACTGTTACTTGTAAAAATAAACTGTGAGTAGGTAGCAATGCCTTAACTGTGTATGTACTGTATGCACTACAAGAGCCTCTTCCAACCCTGTTGAAAAGGCTCTTTAATCTCCTGGCCTATGACATTACTGTTCTTTTTTTTATTTAATGGGACCTAAGAAAGATCTTCACTCTACATGTGACCATCTTGGTTCATTTGGTAAGTTTCACCACTGTTTTAAAACAGAAAAAGCACAAGCAATTGGGAAATTAGCTCTTACTGCTATCCATTTTAAAATCATCCAAACACTCAATGACTCTAAAGGCATTAATATTTACTGAGCATCTACTCTGTATCAGACAGTAAAAAAGAAAAAAGTACAAAGGAACTATAATTACTTAAAAGATGGTAATATTTTCCCAAATTCTTGAAACCAAGGGAGGTGGTGTATGTGTGCAGGGGGGAGGGAAGCTGTTATCCAATAAACCCACATAAGTAGAATGTGAATTATAAACATGTTGCTCCTTAACCTTCCACCATCCACTTCCCCAAAAGGAAAACTACTTGACAACCTTCAAATAATGGATTTATTTTAGGAAAAATTATTAGCACACTGCTGAAAAGGCAATCAACTACCTTGTTCTTCAGGTGAGAGGTCACTATCCTCATCTTCACTGCTTTCTTGTTCATGAACCCGATACTTTGGCTCTGAGCCTTCAGCAGCAGCTAATCTACACAACAATCATTTACAAAGAAATCAACACTGTGATATTCTTTTATTGAGTGTCTCATTCATTCAACTCTTCAGTCTCATAAAAACATTTAAAGATTATTAATATGCCAGCTATAACCTGATGAGGAAAATAAAAAGAAAGTGGTAATGAGTATAGAAACCAGTAAGCAATAAGAAAAGTGGAAGGTGACAGAAATCAAAGCAAAGAGATAGAGCTTTTTGTTTATGAACCCACTTATTTTTGCATAATCTCTAGGTATAGACCCAATGTGGGGCTCAAATTCACAACCCCAAGAGTTGCATGCTCTTCTGACTGAGCCAGCCAGATGTACCATCTTACTTTGATCTTTAAAACATAGGATATTAATTAAAACAACAAAAAAAACACAAAAGCATAGGGGATTGACACAAGGAATCTGTGTACCAGGCTCTAGTACTCCAAATTTTCTGCTACCTGTATACTTTGATTTTAATCTAGAGACAAGACTATAAAAGTTGCTAGGAAAATCCAAATAAACTTAGCTCATGCTTTTTATTTACACTTGTACAAGTATAGTAGAATGGCTTCAACTCTGAACAATTAAAAACAAGTGAAAATGTGTAAGTGAAAATGCTTCAGTCATCAGTACTTACTTCTTAGCTAAGATATCTGGGGCCAGGGCTTCAGTGGTTTCTGAATCACTCAATGCATCTTCATCATCACCTACCATACTAGAATGACAAGCACATTATAATTAATACCTAAACTGTAATTTTTCAAGCAGAAAAACAAGGTAAGGAACCATAATTCTATTGATTTAGTTATAATATCAACATATTTATAGCTCTGTTGTCCTATTTGAAGCTTAATTTAATTTTTTTTTTTTAAAGATTTTATTTATTTATTTGAGAGAGAGAGAGAATGAGAGACAGAGAGCATGAGAGGGAGGAGG